TGGGTTTGAATGTTTTGGTTCTCATCGGCTTTACTGACTTGCCGGTGTGGCAAGTGGTATCTGTCGTCGTTGACGAATCAGTGTTCGGAGGAGGAAAGAGGTTTATAATGAAAGGGAAGAAGCCTGTTGTTCAAGAGTGCCCTGTATTGTGACTGGTTCATTCACCTTGCACACAATTTGCATTTGCCTGTTCTCCCTACTGAAACACCCCCGATATCAGCCATTTTAGGATTATGTGGGAGAGATGAAACTTCTGAGATTGTGCTACGGCTTGGACTTGAATGTAAGCAGGAAACCACTCTAGGCCTTTGCATGTGCAGTGCTGCTTATGACATGAAATGGCCTCTTATATACCCATATAAGAATACAATTAAGCTTAAGCATGTCAAATAGGTATAAAGTATTATGGAATCAGCTGCCTTTTTTGTCGTGTTCATTTCATTCTTCAGGTAAAAAGCTTTAGTGGTACCAGGCATTAAAATGAAAATTAAAAAGAAATTGAAGAAAACAAGGGTGGTCTAATAATTTTTTGAAGCTCAAAGCTTCATATATATGCACATATGTGCATTGTGATGCCTTGAACTAGTGGAATGAATTCATACGAGATGTTCAGAGGTTTTCTGCTGAACTGTGTGCTGTATATGCATGTGTTTGGTGGATATAATGATCGAGCAGCATAGTGCATATTTCATGTGAATGATAACTGTGATCTTGGCTTGTGTTTTGTCACACAAACACCTAGTGTGAAACCACACCTGTAGCTTAAAGAACACTGACTGGTCTGCACCACTGTGGTTTGGACCCAAGAACATGGATTGAAGCCTGGCAAGATTGATTCTTGCATGATCTTGTGATTTTGTGATTCAGTTAAAATATTGACTTGCATTTTTACTATTTTATTTCTAAAAATGATTTCCCTTTTGGGTTCTGCATGCCTTGCCTTTCTTTCCTTTGGACAAATACAATGTTGTAAGGACTGCCCTCCTTACCTCTTCAAAGTAACTAGTAGCTATAAAAATAAAAATCTGCAGTTCTAACACTCATTGCAAGCAGGTGACAAGTGTCAGAGTTGCAGAAATTTTTACTTTCATTTATTTCCAATTGCTATTTTTAGATGTGACATTTGCCCCACCGC